TCTTCAGACGTTTTTACTGCGAATGTCTTCTAAATGTACTTTCCTTGACCCCAAACTCGGCCTACAGATTCTAAATTCGGCCTAACGCATTGAAACGGCATTCAAACGCCATCTTCGGTCTATCGGATAAAGATAAAAATTTGCTCTTTTGCTTTTGAGAATAATAGGTGCAAACATTCATATCACGCATTCTTATTGACTTCGACCAAACGCATAATTGACTTGTTACGTCAAAATCAAGGATTTATGGTGGACATGATGGATTTCTTTTTTGTATTTTTCCGTGAAATAAAATAAATGTTATCAACAAGATTTGCCGCATAATATATAATTTCATGCATTTGTTGGTTTACGTAGAACCCCGACAGTTTGAATAGCTAAAATCGCAATTAAACATGAACGCCGTTTAGAACTTGTTTAACTGGTAGTGCATATAAGAAGGGCACTAATTACCAAAATGTGGTACCGGTGGCCAAAATTACCAAAATGCAATGTCCGATTTTAATATGTGTATTAATATGTTTTTGTAGTTTATTGTCCATATTTACATGATCCATGTATCGGCTGAAAATCTCCTAAATAGAGATAATAATAATGATCCATGTATTCATAAATTTTAGAAAATTCAGAAAAATAGTATCATAATTATATGATGTCGCGTCTGTGGCATAGAAAAGGAAGACTCGGAACATTTGCTATGCCACTGTCCGGCAATTTTCAATAAAAGGCGTAAGTTCTTCGACAAGGGGCTGATAGAACCCTTTGACATTTGGAGAACAACTCCCAGTACGGCAGTGCACTTTATTCGAAGTATAATGCCGTGCTGGGATAATGCTATTAGTCAAACGATGGCGATCACTCCTAATAATAGTGATACGGCATCTTGATATAGCTAAAGAAAAAAAAATGGGGAATATATCACAATAGATCAGAAAAATGGTCGCAGTGATGAAAATACCCGACAAGGGAAAAAAAATCATAATTATATAGGGGAAATGGCTCTAATGTTGGCACATGGATCTAAGATGGGGCCCATCGCTAAAAATCTGCTATTTATCAATTTTATCTAGATGAACGCGTCATTGGAACGGTACTAGCGGATATTTTTGGTCGCTATTGAAAATTTAGTCGATTGCTGAATTTATTTATGGGCCCAAATTAGTGGCATTTAGGCCGACATTACATCCATTTCCCCTATGCCTTCAAAATTAATGAAAATCGAAATGGAAATTAGAAGCAGAAAAAAAAGTGAATTAATGAAGCAATAAAAACTTGTGTATAATGATTATTATATACCGTTTTAAAGCTCACAAGCTGAAACTGCAAATTGTTAGGCTCTCTTCGAGCGAACCGAAGTTCGCCCACACAAACCAAGCGATCTACTGGACGGTTTTCTATAGGCTACATAAAGCCCTGCCAATCTAGAATCGGTACGCTTTTTTTTGTTCGGTACAACGTCGGTTCTGGAAACCTTAGGACAGAAATTTGTTTACAATGTCTTTCTCTTGAAATCCTGTGCAAAAAATATTAGAAAAAGTTTATGTTTTCTTGAATTGCCACGCGATGGAAGAAAAAAGTAGAGAAGAGGATCGTAAAGGAGTGCTGAAACGTTTCAAGGATGCGCGGATTTTCACCCAATCGAAATGTATTGGGGTATGATCAAAATTAAACTGAAGAAGAGTGGAAAAATGGCTAAGGATGCTATTTCAATGGCCAGATACTGGAAAAAGCAGCCGGTGAGCCGGAGCAGCTTGTGTAGAAGTTGATGGCACGTATCAAGCCCAAAGTTCGAATTTTAATTCGAGAGGAATAAAAATCTCAAAACCCATATTGTATCTTTAAACTACAATAAATACATAACAGTTTCTTCTAATAACATTTTTTTTCCTCGACTTGTTTTCCGTCGATCACCAATACTACCGACGCCAGGGAGGCCGTTCCCACACCTGAACTCTACCTATCGACTCATCAACTCATGAACCGGGGACCAATGGCTTTACTTCCCTTTCGAAGAAAGGCGTGATCAGAGATGTTATGCCTCAGAACATCCCGACGACGCCGACTGTGATTGAACCCAGGCCTGCTAGAGTGAGAGGCAATCACGCTTACCACTACACCACCGGCGCCGCTAACGTTTTATTCTAAACCAAACAGATTCTGAGATACATCCGATCGAAAATTGGCAGAGCTTTATAGTATAAAGGTATTTTTCATAAATTTGTCTTATATAAACAACTCTTGTCGTCTCCTGTCGCCGCAGTTTTCGATGGTGTGCCTAAAATTCCCAATTTAGATCTTACAAAATATGCGTCAAAAGTTTGCTAAAAGTTGCTAATTCTCGAAAACAATCTGGAGCATCATTTCAAACAAAATACTATCCAGTTCTCTTAATACAAATGCACATTGCATCGTTTTTTAAAAAAAAAATTTAATCAAATTTTTATCAAATATCAGGTACAAATTTCTTCCAGACTATATAAAAAATTACAGCTGCCTTTAGCCAAAGTCTTGTTCTTCGCTACTCCAACATAGTAAATTATTCATCTGGAACTAGTATCTTTGGGAAGTGGAATGGCAAACTTTAAGATAATATTGAAACATGCATTTTTGTAGAAGATATCAACTATCTCAGTTGTTGAGATATGTAAGATTTTTGTATGGAGACTTCTAAAACTTTTCTGGTAGCAATTTCCCGTCGTTGACATTTTCTACATACTTTTTGGTATCATAAAGATACGCCATTTTGCCTTGGGAAGCAAGTTTATATATTTTATATTTGACAGCACTTTTTATAAGACCAACAGCTCAAAGTCGGCAATATCGGGCAAACCAAACTAAATGAATTTGAAAAAAATAATCATAAGTTTTCAAAAGTATCCTCTATCAAAAAAATTAGAAAAAAAGGAACATTTGCTTGCCAAGATTTCACGCATTTCAGATTTCAATATTGTAAATATCTAAAGTTTAGTTAGTTGGACAGACCTTAAGGAACAACTTTATCGAAAACTGCAAATTGATACGACTACTGTGTAAAATACATTATACATTTAATACCATTTACGCAGTCTTGAAGAAAGTTGTTTTGTCACAAATAAAGGGTGATTTCCAGTAATGTGAGATTTTTGGGTTAACAAATAAATTTCCAATACGTTTTCTTATACTTTCAAAATAAGCATATCGGTTGAGACAATTATTGATTTTATATGGATTGAGGAGCCCTTTAGTTCTTCTTTAAAATTCAATTAGTTTGGTTTGCCCGATATTGCCCTAATTCGAGTTGATTGTTTTAGAAAAGTGTTATTTTTGGGTCAAAATCATGAATAGCTTATACAATATAAAAGATAGAAACTTACTTCCTAAGACAAAATGGCGTATATTTGTAATGCAAAAGAGTATGTAGAATATGTCGATGCCGGGAAATTTCTACCAGAAAAGTTATTGACAAAACATTGATTTTTAGAAGTCTCCATACAAAAATCTTACATATCTCAAAAACACTAAAAGATAGAGAGTTGATGTCTTATACAAACATTTTTGCTTACATATTATCTAAAACTTTACCCAAGATACCATTTTACTACATCGGTTTTCCGACTGTTTTTTCATCTCCCTGTCATGTATATTAATCATGAAAAGTAAGGTTCAAAAGATCGAGCTAATCATGAACACAAACGTCTCCGAAGACAGTGTATGTCTAAAATAATCCATTTTCGCGTTAATAATCTGAAATTAAAAACAAAAGGTTTTGTTCTTAACATTTGATCTGCTTCTACCAACTGGGATTAATTTGGTAGGTACTGGCTGTTGAGTCTTGGGATGGATCGAGGGTTCGAGTTTTCAATCCATCCTAAGAATTAAGAGCCAATCCTGTTCTCAGCATTGTAAAAAATAATAATTGCATTTCACGTTTAGGAAAATTAAACATAAAACTGATATGTTCAAAAGTTTGAGCACGCCATGAGCATCATGCAGATCCCTCTAAAGCTACGTTTTAATGGCAGCCCTACTTTTGCTCAATAAAACAGATGAAATTATCCTTAATAAGTAAAAATAATCTCCTTGAAATAGATCGGGTTGCTCCTTAAATTATTGATCAAAATATGTTAAAAATCTTAAAATGCTCAGTAAATATTTAAAGTACGCTCCCTAAAAAAGAGAAAACTGTACATTAAACATTTGAAAATGCTCCTTAGTATGCACCGCTTTGCACCATTTTGAAGTGTAATTGTACCATATATCATCGGAAAAGCTGCTGTAGAAAGGTTAATAAGTACCATGAAATCAGCTGAAATATTCAGTAAATCATTGTGTCCATTTGTTCATTTTTACTGAACGTTTCAGCTGATTTCATGGTACTTATTAACCTTTCTACAGCAGCTTTTCCGATAATATATGGTACAATTACACTTCAAAATGGTACAAAACGGTGCATACTAAGGAGCATTTTCAAATGCTTAATGTACAGTTTTCTCTATTTTAGGGAGCGTACTTTAAATATTTACTGAGCATTTTAAGATTTTTAACATATTTTGATTAATAATTTAAGGAGCAACCCGATCTATTTTAAGGAGATATTTTTTACTTATTAAGGAACATTGTCATTGTTTAATGATTCATTTACCTTTTTACCCGTTTTAATGATGCTATTAATTAAGAAAACTGCAGAAAATTTACTTTTAAATCACTATTATGCACAACTTGCACTGACTTTTTTTTTAAAAGCTTTATTAAAGAGATTTTTAGCCTTAGGCTAGTTCATCTCTAAAAACTTGCACTGACACTTAACACTAGACACAGCACCCAGATGATTAATTTCCATATAGTAAAAATTTCACCGGCTGGAACGGAAATATAAACCGATTTTTTAAAATAGTCAAAATAGATGTGGTACAATATAGGAGGATGAGCTAATATTAAAATATTTGAATTCTTGGAAATCGTATATTAAGTCCGCAATTCCGAAAATCTAATGTGTACGACCAAATAATAGCAAAACATACCATTTCGTCCAAACTTTTCAGATCGTTGGTAACAATCTGCGGTTGGGGTCCGTACATTAGCATTGGACCGTTTGGATCATCTTCGTCTTCACTGTCCGAATCAAACAAGTCATCTTCCGTTCCTGTTGCTATTGTATGGGAATTTCCTTCAGTTTGCGTACCGCAGACTATTCCGTTCGCTTTATTATCAGCGGCAATTTCTCTATCGATTTGCCGTTCCATTTGCACCAACATAGGAGCAAGCATACCTAAGATAAAAAATGGAAAGAAATATAAAAATTTGGTGGAAAGGTAAACACAAATGACTACCAGTTAATTTAATCATTAAGGTAAGGTGAATGGAACCAGTTTTGACCAAAATTTCTTATTCTTATTCTAGCCATACCTAAGAACAATTATCATAGAGCATCTTCCTTACTCTTTGACGCCAATAAACTGTGCATGAAATTATTGCAACAATTGCTGATAGATAACTCCTTTTGGGCTGAACTGAAATTTTGCAGGACTTATTTTTTTTGCGTGCGTTTGGCCAGCTTTCAACTTAGTGTTCCTGATGGACATTAACAGTTATTAATTAAGAGATTTCTATGCCAACCAATGCATTTTTTTAAAATATTGTTGCCAAGCATGTCTAGTGAAGTCGAGAAAATTTCCAACCAGAATGATTTACTCGACTAGATCGGGAATTGAACCCACCACCATCGATGTGGTAATACCGTGCCTTTAACAACTAGACTATCTGAAGCACCAAATTTTGCAGGAATACATGCTATAAATTTCATGAGCTTGTGTTGTAAAGATACACTAAAGCGTACAGGAGAAAATCTGAAAACCTTGAAATTTATGAAAACCATGAAATAATTACCTTAGGCTGTATTCCTGCAAAATTCCATGACCAAGTGTAATTATATGTATTGCAACAATTTTAACAATTATGGCCAATACTGCGTAGATTCTATTGTTTAAAGTAAAATAAAAAAAAATAAATAACAAACTCACCAAACTTAGCTCCTCTTCGAGCTACCTCTAATAAACATAGAATCACATGTTTTTCATTCTTTCGCATGATCAAATCATCAGTTTCGAACAATAGGCATTCGAAAATTTGAAGGCTTTTTCTGGAAAGAAAAAAAAAAAACATAATATATTAAATATAACAATGCATTCTATATATTTATACTAAAGATACATAATTACAATTATTATTCTTTATTATTATTTATTTCACCACTTAATATGCAATCACCGATGCTATAGAGGCGACGACAACTAAACCGTACATATGGAACCCATCAACCACTATCACATAGGCCAGGACTTACCACTTTAAACCCTCCTTCGTGACCACAAATTTTTCTACTAAGAAAGTCTCAGTTGGGACTTAACTTCAACCACCGCACTTCTAAAGGATAACTAAAAATCCATTTTTTGGTATTCTGATCGATGGCTGAAACCTACTGAAACTACATACTCACAAAGCAAATGCGGTAATCAGTAAGGTGAATTGAAATATTTATGAGCATGAGCATTAGTATTGAAGTAGGGTGGTTCAAAACACTTATTTAGACAAACTGTAACGGTAACCTTACGTCAAATGATTTTTTTATTAAATAATTTGTCATAGATTATTTTTAAATGTAAAACGACATTTAAGGAAAGCTTGCATATTGCTGAAGAACATAAATAAACAAGAAAATAAGGTTTAGTCCACTGCAAATCTGTGGAAAGCATATTCACATCGCTAGAGGTTTTAGCCAAGCTACTCCATTTGGGAAAAATCAGAACCAAAACAACACTCCCGAAATATACCCTAAAAGATGAAAGTCTTAATTGAGGGACTCTTCGGATCGAATCCCAACTTGGCTTCAAAAACGGTGATCTAGGCGTTTCAAGACATGTTCAGAGTGGTGCTGCAAAAAATGCTAGATGAAGATCATTTCCCAGACAGATGGAAGATATTACAAAAGATGGAAAGAAATTATTATTGCTACCGAAACTTTATGTTTGATGGATACACTTGTAAATGTATTGGAAACAATTAAACTTAGCCTTAACAGGCTGACGAAATTTACGGAGAGTGAGCATGGATTTTCGAAGATGCATCCTTGGTCAAACACTCTATAACGGAATATACAACGATGTGCTGACGCTTAAACTTCCTAAATGTGTCAAGATCGTTAGCTTTGTGGATAATGTCGTCTTAACGGTAACAGGAAAAACGCGAGAAGAAGTGAAAATGCTAGCAACCGAGGCGATCGGAATGGTTGAGAACAGGATTTGCATCCGAAGCGAAACTGTAGATGCCCACCACAAAACGGAAGTGCTATTGGTCAGAAACTGTAAAGCGGTACAACAGGCTGAAATCATCGTCGGAGAGCATGCTATACCTTCGAACAATTATGTCGACTATGCCTGCGAGGGCGGCGACGGCCATCACGGTGATAACTATACTCAGGCCGAACAACTCTGAACCAAGCAGTACCAAAGGCGTCTTCTGGTTAGCGTATCTTCGTCAATAATTAGGTACAGAGGTCCAGCCTGGGTTACAGCGCTAGAAACCGAGTGGAATCAAGTGATGCTGAACAAAATGCGGATACTTATGGCTTTGCAAGTTTTGAGTGCATACAGAACCCTCTCGTCGGAAGCAGTTATCGCCTATCGGCATCACCTTGGTGGAGGAAAGTGAGTATGGCAAACGGAAAGAAACATAGGACACGGCGGAGAGCAGGTAGATGCACTCAACCTGACGCAATTCCTATGTGATCACAGTTACTTCAGAAAGTACATACATCGAACCGGACATTCAAAGCAATATTGGTAGGTTTTATACACGCAAACCAAAAATTTATTACAATGAATGTTACTTCCATTTCCTATCATCCTCTGTTCATGAACATCGCAGCGAATGTTAGAAGTTGACCTTGCAGGCGATGTAATGGTTTTTTGCCTTTTTTATTTCGTGTTCTGTCTGTGCTTTCATCTACACAAGCAAGCATTTGCCTTGATTTTTATGTATAACATTCTAGAACGACGCACACACTTGCCTCGAATCTCTCCAGCAGAAAAAGCATACGAAGTCAAGTGTGAGAGGAAATGAGCGCTTCTTGTTTGCTTTTAGGCTATCCATATTCAGAAGCATGGAGAGAGCAGTGGAGAAAGCACAGGTCTGATAATCACAACGTTCGTGGTTCGAGTCCCCAGTCGGCAACCTTTTTCCTATTTTTTTTCAACATAATTCACATTTCACTCACTAATACACTCCACATTTTTCGGTCTCCAATTTTCTTGCATTGGACCGCAGCTAGGTATATTGCATCCTCGGTTCATGCGGTCTTCACTTACATCCTCTGATGATGAATCCCACATAATTTTAAGCGAATCTTACATCCATCGGTTGGGTGTATGTACAGCACGTTCTTTACAACCTCTTCTTGTAACTTACAAATACCAAAATTAAAACATCTTTTGACTCCATAATATCACAAAACAATATCTTATGCAATATGAATGGAAGGCACCCTGGCTAGAGGTGAGTAAGAGGTTTTGGTAAGTAAGAACACCCACCTGCTCGCTTTTGAGTGATTGCTCGAGCAGGGTTACTAAAAAACTTGGCCTATAGCAGGCCATCTTGAAAAACGTCATAATGATGAAGATTTCAAAATGTTGCATGGCGGATTTTTTGATGATTCTACTGGTGTTTAATACCCAATAGATGTAAGATATTAAATATTCCATAGTAACAATCAAATTTATTAAAAGTATCTAATTCGAAAAATCGAAGCGTTTTAAGACTTCTCTCCCATATTTTGTCATTTGATGCAACATTTTGAATTCTGTATCGACTTTTTTCAAGATGGCCGCAAGAGACCAATTTTTTTGGCACAGGCTTTTTGAAAGTTTCGTCTTATCGAATTTCACGCAAACTCGCCAAATGTTTGACTCAGATTCCAATGAAACATTGTGAACGTACAGTCTTCGTCTACTTGCGCAAATTTGCATTCCTTTTTTCCTTGAAAAAATCTTGACTACCATTTGAAAAGGGCTGCAGTTTTTTTTCAATTTGTTTGCAAAAAAAAATGTTGCATAATAAGATATACACAAATTTGTTAAAAAAATGCATCAGAGAAAAAATCTAAAGTTTTACACAAAAAAAAAACATAAATATCTAAAAAAAACATTTTTGAAAATTGTTAAAGCTTAATCTTTCTAGAAAGATTCTAATCATATCCTTTTTTGTCTGGATTGAATTTTTTTATCGTAATAATCCTATGGACCTTCACGGCTTAACCAGTAACCAGTAACTGTGCATAGCTGTATAAAAAAAAACATGACCACCGTTTTGAACTTTTTCTAGTAAGACATTTTAGTTATCTACAAGTCGTCCATACATTGCAAAGATGAGCACTCTTATTAGATTTTTAATTCATACATCAACTTTTTTGTACCTGCACTAAAAACAATCAAAAAGCAGCGAACTTAACTAACGTAACTACAGTATCCCCACGCTCATCACTCATGTATCCTGCACCCCCTAGTGGTGCATAGGGCTAACGTAAAAGATTTCCATCTTGGGTGGCTGGTTGCTTTTGCCTTTACATGGGCCTTGGTCAGATTCCTGTCGACTTCCTTTATTTCCTTGTTGAGACTCCCCGGCATGAGGCCCTGAGTTTGCCTCTGCTGTAATGTCCTGCCGGATTCCAATCCAGCGCTTGCTTGAATATTTCGTATCCGGTTTCCGATGGAGCTCAGCATTCGAGATCCAGTTATGACGTCACCAGGCATGAATTATATACCGCAGGCATCGGTTGATGAACCTGCAGGTTTTACGTGTTCTCCGCTAATACACACTGTGCAACTTACCTTGTGAAGAGCTGGTCCGAAAGTCAGTAGAGAGTTGCCCGTGTTTGTTTATGAAGCGTTTCCATAGATACCTCTGTTTACCAGCATTGAACTGCTGCGCTTACAACGGAGGGCTGCACACATGGCTTGCTGACTCGTTAAGCGTCAAGTTAAGACCTGGTTACACTAGCGCTAATATATGCCACACATGTCCCTCTCTCCTCATAAAAGAAATAATTTTACCCGGTTTTTCTTTTCAGCCGTGAATGCACCATTGCTCTGACATCATTATCATCACCATGAAGATCAATAGGAGCGCTGGTAGTTAGCTTAGGAATCTCTCGTTCGAAAATCGAAATGGATGATTTTTCAATTAATCTCATAGTTGCTTGGAGAAAAACTGACCCGATTGGATTCTGGGACTTCTGGGGCGCAATGTGGGATGTTTGCCGTATAACAACTGTGTACTGGTGAACTGAAGCTGTTGTGTCACGAAAATGAAAAGTGGACGCAGTCCTTGTTTTCTCTGCTGAGATCCCTCTAGTTGGAGCAGCTAGAGTGTGTTTCGTGGTTGATGAGGGTTCACGCTGCTGTGAAGAACGAAATGCGAGAGTGCTGTTTTTAACACCTGTTGAAGATATAGTGGCAGCATGTCTATGGAGCTCTTAGAAATCTTCGTGATTAACGTGATATCATGGATTTCTTGGTAACATACCGCGTGATATCATTCCTTTATTTTTTCTTAACTTTCATTCCATTATTATATGAAACATTAAATGTTGTGGGCAGGACGGACCACCAGGGCACCCGATTGACGCGAAATGGATGGGAAGAGTCGAAATGCCAACTCCCTGTCGTTTACATTTCGTGAAAAGAAGGTGGGCTCTTTTTCCCACTCATTGGGACATCCTCCTGTTGGATGGCCTGTTTTTTGATCGTTTGTATGATCCTGTTGTTGGAAGGAGATTCTCATTTATTGCGTGGATGCAAGTGGGCGATGTTGCTCACGGATTCACCCAAACCGTTTTTGGCGCTTCATACAATGGCAGGTTGAATACAATTAGAAGCTTCGGCATTATTCAGCTGCTAGATGGACGAAGGCAGTGCAAAGCGGCTGCTTTTCAACTTCGTCAGCTGACCAGCTTCACGGCGGATCTTCTGCGAGGACACCGGTGTGGAGAACATTAAGTTGGCCAGATGGTCGTTCACCAGCATTTTGTCGTTGGATAGCGAACGGATCTTCTGGACACCCTTGATGGGGGAGGTTGCCTTCCGTTTTTTTTTTTTTTTTTTGAGTGTTACTGTCCATGACGTCGATTTCCTGTGTCAAACGGTCCTGTTGGTGCATCCGTACTGATATGCATTAGATAATGCTGGTAAAATGTAAAGTATGCGTTATTTTTTTGTTTTGTAATAGGGATCGTGGCGTCATTTTTAAGCAATTGAGGCCAATTGATATTTTTTTGCAAAAGCGTCGCTTTGAAACGATTAAGGCTTATATAATAATATATTCATCATGATTAAGGCTTTTTTAATTTTATGGCGTCGTTTTGAAACGATTGAGGCAGATTTAGCAGTTTAATTATTTTAGCTTTTTTCGCGGTGGCATCGTTTTGAAACGATTTGAGCAGATTTTGTGTTTTCTGTAATGGCGTCATTTTGAAACGATTGAGGCATATTTAGCATTTTTTTAGGCATTGGCATCGTTTTGAAACGATTCAGGCAGATTTTGCGTTTTCTGTAATGGCGTCGTTTTGAAACGATTAAGGCAGGCTTGGTAGTTTCTTTTTCTCGCAATGTCTTGAGACGAATAAGGCAGATTTGGCGTCGTTTATAAACGAATCAACCGGATCTAGCAGTTCCCATTATTATTTTTTTTTGCGGTGCGTGAAGGCTACGGTTATTCTAAACCGATTAATATTAGCGTGGCCTCTTTATGATAGAAAACCAAATGAGCTTATGGAAGATTCCATATGGCTTAGTTAAATCTGGCAGGATCGCCAATGTGCAACTTACCTTGTGAAGAGCTGGTCCGAAAGTCAGTAGAGAGTTGCCCGTGTTTGTTTATGAAGCGTTTCCATAGATACCTCTGTTTACCAGCATTGAACTGCTGCGCTTACAACGGAGGGCTGCACACATGGCTTGCTGACTCGTTAAGCGTCAAGTTAAGACCTGGTTACACTAGCGCTAATATATGCCACACACACACCACGTCTCACTGGCGTATAACAACACAAATTTCACGTCTAAATTGATCTCCATGCATTTCGTAAACTCGCAAAAGCAGCCATAACCTTCTTGATTCGTACACCTGCCATCCCGCCATCTGATGCTATCTGGCTGCCAAGATATTGAAAACGTTTGACTTTCTCCACTGTTTGCCCCGCTACCATAAAGTTGGAAGGATTGTCCGTGTTGACATCCAACGATTTGGTTTGTTGAAGTTGATGGTCACACCCACCGCATAGGAGCGTTCGGTTAGGTCGTTGAGCTTACTCTGCATATCAGAGCGCCGTTGTGCTAACAAGCATCTATTCATCCACAAAGTCTCATTGGAATCTGATAGGGCACTACCGAACTGTGCCAACCCCATACAGGCTTTTGGATGAAATTCACTTACAAAAATCAAAAACGTACGGACGTACATTAGACTGATGCAAAATATTAAATTTTCGCTCCACAGTGTACAAACGGTTTCAAATCGGGTCCTGATAGCCTCCAAAAGTTTAAACTCATTTGATAAGAAACTAACTTGGCACAAACTTCAAATGGTTTATATGGAAATTACTATGGGAAAACCAAACTTTTTGTTCATTGTTTTCTAGCCTTTTTCCATATTGTACTATTAACAAGTTCTATTACTATTCTCATGGGAATTTTTATCAGCTACACCTTTGCAGAAAATCTTTTTTCAGCCAGATGTTAAATTAAATAGTTATTAATTGTTTAAGAGATTGATTATCTTATGGCAAGATTAAGCAACTGTATTGTGGGCAACACTGTATTCTGCAGTGTGACATAGTAGCCATGATTTTTGTCCTGTATTCTACACGCTATAAACACCAATGTTGCCTGCTGAACAGTTGATTGAGCATAATCATAAGACATCAGTGACTTGAATCATTAATAACTTTTGTTCCTTACATTTGATCGAAAAATGGTCCTCAACAAAGTTTTAGCTGAGAAAATTTTCAACAAGCTCAGCTATTATTTTCTAAAATAGAGTGAACTGGTGAATTTTTAGATAGATATGAACCGAAATTATGGTTTCTTTATAGTAAATCCCATATAAACTTCAAACGGGTTGTGCCAAGTCAGGTTCCTACTAAATGAGTTCAAATTTTGGGAGGATAATCAGGACCCAATTTGGAACCGTTTGAGCACTGTGGAGCCAAAATTTCAAATTTTGCATCAGTCTAACTTACATACACAACACTAACATTCTTTTCATGTAAGAAGAAATTCACGTTCGACCGGTACTTCAACCGTAAAACGGGGTTTCTTTAATAATGCGGGTGACTTTGATAGTATAATATAATGAGTTTTTTATTTTCCAAATATCTGAAAAAAAAACAATTTTCTGGTTTTCCGCCTGATTGTAGCTGTACTAAATAATCACTTTTTAGATGCAAAATACAAATTCAATGTTGTCTTCATGTTGCTCATGATGTTTCTGATTATATACTCATGCAAGGTTTCATATTTTTTGAACTAAATTGCTTGAGATTCACGCATGTTTTTCTACATTCATCAAAGTAACCCAAAAACAAACAAAAAACTGATGTTCGGTCACAAGACAAAAAAAAAGTTCAAATGCAATAATTTCCGTTAAACATATTGCTAACGAATTGGCACTAGAATCCTCAGTACTTATTTTTAAAAAAATAATAAAAATATTAGTTGAAAAACATTAATTGTTGTAACAACTATTTTATATAAAAAATAGAAACTTTTTTTTTGTTAAAATTATAACACTGTTTCTTAATTCCAAATTCGACCAACGCTTTAAACAACAACAAAAAAGTTTTTGAGAACAATGGGTATATTGTAATGTATTCATACTATGCGCTCTTTTAGGCTTTGTGTTGCAGCTTTTGATCCAACGTATCGGAACACACGTATTATTAATTCGTGCGCGGATAAATAATTTATATTATTGATGTTTTCTACTCAATAGAAGGTAAAAGGGCTATTACGGCGAACTACAAGCCCGCTAATCGCTCTTTTTGCAATATACTGCTGATATATGGCTGATATAAAGTTTTAAAACCCTTTAACAACCTTATATTGCAAAAACGGTGATACTTGGGTAACGCTCTACCCTATAGGCGAAAAGTGCGAACATTTTTAAATTAGGTGATGATTTGCAGTTCCATTGATTGTTGAGTTCGCATTCACTTACCGGCACCATGCTATGAAGTTTGAGACATTATCTCTGGCGAAAAATGTTCCACTTTTGGCCGCTGGCAAAAAATGGACATTGCCCATGCTCAGTATGGGGCCCGCCAAGCCGGATGTCATCGATTTCGTCATGGATTTATTACGTGCTTGCCTTCTCGCTAGATATTCCTCCGCCGCTTGTCGAACGTTATTTGCATGCTGGAAAAGAGACAGAAAGGTAGAAATATTAGCACCACTTCAACGCAAGCAAAACAAGTGCCGTTTAATAAACGTTTAAACATTTAGATGCTTATCATTCACTCCGGTTAATGATTTTCTGTTGTTGAATGATACAGAAATCTTGAAGTACAGAATCTGGTGTATATCTTTCAGGAATTAATATGCGATCAGAAGAACAGATCACTTTTTTTTCATTATTCAGATACTTGATTATCGGTCATTAATATGCGTGAAGACTTGATATTTATTGCTCTATTTTACTGCCAAAAATAATCCGACACTCAACCTCCTACGCCAAATCCAATTTTTACGATCAAGTTGAGCTCTCAAACCAGTTTGTACGTTACACAGAAGACCAGAACGAACAAGTTGAATACACCTCTGCAAGCTTGAGTTTTCCTTGCATAAGCTGAAATATGCCAATACACGAAGAGTCCACTTTGTTCTGAGTGCTTAAGCGAATTTTTAAGTGGATTTGTTCTAAGAACTGAAGTAATTCATGTTATACAGTCCTTTTTATGGCGCTTCCCACGCATATGTCAACGCACGAATTTTAAACATTTATTAAATGAATTTCAGCTAGTACGTTGGCAAATTCACTTGTCTTACAATTATGACCAACGTTGAATCGAGTCTAGTGCAATCAAACTATTTTGGATTTTGTCGGAGTAAGATGCGCTTTAAATCTATCATCTTTGTTTGTGTTACTGGGTCATGAATGCACAGACAAAGTTTTTTCTGTTTTTCGGAATCGATACAATATAGTATAGGGTAACTACCCCATAAATCACTTACCCACCATATTCCACCCACTTGGTCGATTGTTGATAGATTCAAGGTATTTCGTTGCAAACGTGGAGATACTTCTTTTGATAATCAAATATAGTTTTTGTTTTCCTGAACCATGAACAATTTTTCAGCATAACATCGTTTTACCCCGAAACCTACCCTCCAAAAAAAACAAAAAATATTAGGACACACACACATATATATATATATATATTAGACTGATGCAAAATTTGACTTTTTCGCTCCACAGTGCTTAAATGGTTTCGAATCGGGTCTTGATTAGCCTCCCAAAGTTACAACTCATTTGGTTAGAAACAGACTTCGCACAAGCCATTTGAAGTTTACATGTAAATTACTATGGGAAATCTCAACTTTTTGTTCATTGCCTTCTAGTATTTTCTATATTGAGCTGCGAGAAAGTTTGAAAGCCATTCTTATAGAAAAATTTTCTCAGCTACAACTTTGCTCAAGATCGTTTCTATGTAAAACGAGACAGGAAAATGTTATTAATTATTTAAGAGATTGGTAAACTTATGACATGATCAAGCAGCTGCTCTGTAGGCAACACTGTATTTTGCAGTGTGGCATAGCTAGCCATGATTTTTGTGTCCTAT